CTCCTCCCGGCGCGCTGACGAGTGGGCCTCCAGGGTCGCGGGCGGTGCCCGACCGGCTTCCTGCTGTCTCATGCGGTCGGCCACCTGGGAGTGCTGCCCTCGCGCCTCCGGGAAGGTGGGCGTCCTCGGCAGGAGCCGCGCTCTCCGGCGCGCGGGCCTGGTCGCAGGACCCCACCAGTGGTGGCCTCCGCGGTGTCGAGCAAGGGACAACTCCCGCAGCTTAGGCCAGGAGACCAAGGGGGGGCCTCCCGTGTCCTGGGCCTGCAAGTGGTCCCGCTGCCCACAGAGGGGCTTAGTGGAATTGCCTCGTAGATGATCATGTGCACTGAGCTCACTGGAGTGAGCCTGTTTGGTTACCCATTCCTCCGGGCCTGCCCGTCAGATGGAGTGGTGGCCAGTCTCCTGTGTTATTTCATCAACACAAAACATTTAGCACTCGGATCATTTCCGTTGAGGAGGGACGTGTACATTTTTTAAGCCAAAATTGAAAGCCTAACAGCATCCGTAGGTCCCCATTCACATGGAGAGTAATTGTTGGCAAACCGTGTTAGATACTTACTTGGGGTCACTCCCAACACCCGTGCGGTGGGGCCTCTTATTGTCGTTCAGTTTGAGCAAAGGCTTCATGAAGAAAAGAAAAGAATGCGGTAGATGAGAGGCAGGCCAGAGAGACACCTGAATCCTGACCTAACCCCCAGTGCACTGTGTGACCATGGAAAAGTGACTACATCTCTCAGTGCCATAGTTTTAGTTAGTAAAATGGGGGATAGAATGATACCAACCTCATATTATCTTGTACTCAGAATCACTTGAGTATAAAAGCCCTTGAAGCAGTGCTTAGCTTGTGGTAAATGCACACAAGTGTTACCTGGTGTTTTTATTCAGCTTCCAAATGTTTTTTGAAAGCTTTCTAGGAGCCAGGGGTCAGCAGTACACATTAGACATGAGGACCTGCTCAGATGAGAGAGGATAAATCAACAACTAGTAAGAAGCAGCCAGGAGATGAGTGTGGCCAGAAAACCAATAGAACAGGAAAATGGAGAACTGGGAGGAAGATTCATCAAAGTAGGGGATTCAGGGAAGGCCTCCCCAAAAATCATCATTTGACCTGGGCCCTGAACGGTGACACAGTGGTCACTAAGAAGCCTCAAGGAATGTCCGGTGTTGGGACCACCTGAGCACAGATGGGGCAGGTGGTGGGAGATGGAGTCAGAGCAGCCAGGCTGGGAGGGCCTTTTAGGGCATGGCAAGGGGCCCTGGGGCTACATACCAGCCAAGGCTGGCGGAGGCCATCTGCCTGACTGCAGCCTGAGCGCACTGGTGGGCTTGAGTCCCCGGAGAAGGAGGACAGCATGACTGGACCTGGCATCTGCACATTCTGAATCTCATTTAAACCCAGATGTCAGGTCCCAGACAAGCCTATCCAACCTCATGCCATGGCTTTCCAGTTCAGCTGTGGAGCTGCTCTGTGACCCAGGTGACCACTGAACAGCCGGGGCTAATGGGAACCAAGAGTCAGCCCCTGACATTTCCTGTGACTCATCCCGGTGTGACCTCTGACATCTGAAGGTCAGGCCTTAGCCTCATGGCTTCCATTTCCAAGTGACTCCACGTCCCAGGGGAGAGATCACTTAGTGCTTTGCCAGCATGTTCTACTGCATGTTTAATGTTACTACAAAAATGCCCTTGAGATTTCTCTTTCCCCTCCAAATAGAGCCTAGAAGAGAAACTAAGGACGTCATCAGATTCCGAGCTGCTGCTGGATATTCTGCAGAAGGTAAGAACCCCAGGATCACTGGGCACATATCGGGGCAGAAGAGCTACAAGTGCACACGTACCCTTAGAAAACACCATGTTCAAAGAACAAATCCATCCAGCGCTGCACGTAATGTTAGAGCCTCCGACGGCTCTGGCTCCTTTGTTTTCTTGGATGAAGACATCTGCTCGAGAGGAGGGAAGCTGGGGGATGTTTTTAAACCATCCGCAGTGAAAACAGACCTGACAGGTACAGGGACAGCCCCCAGCAAGTTGTAGCTGCTCAGAGACTTTCTTCTTTGCATTAAAGCAAAGTAAAGACCCCGTCTTACCAACTCCTATCTCTCACACCCATGCAGGGACCCTTGCTCTGCTGAAGTGGGGTTTGGACTCTGAAGTGCATCTCCACACAGGATAGAGGTGTGCCCCACCCTGACCCTGGCCATGTGGGTCAAGGGCAGTTCACAAACTTCTCAGGGTCATGAGGCTTCTCAAAGGCCAAAGTTAGAGTCTCCCTTTCTGGAAAGACACATCTGAAGCATATGTTCTGCATGCAAATTCAGGGGTGACACAGACATTCTCCCCAACACAAAACCCATCCAAGGAGCCCAGGTCAGAAATTCCTGTGCTGGGGGTGAGTATGGAGAAGACGCAGCCAGAGCAGGGGAAGACTTGAGGGTGGTGCAGTGGTTGGGGCTTTGTTCTTTCCACCCAGTGTCACACCCACAGGCGTAGAGCATAAACAAACAGCTGCTTTAAAAGCCTACTAAGGGGCCAAGGGCAGCTCAGTGCTAGAGCACTTGCCCAGCATTTGCGAGCCCTGGGTTCAGTTCCTAGCAAAGCAAAGGAAAAAAACCTACTGTGGTTGTCCATTAAATCTAATAAATCAATCTTAACATGGACCTCCTAGAAAGCCCCTAGGGCTTGTGTGAGTATCCTGTGGCCCTTGTGAAGCTCTGGGTCCCTCCTGGCAGCAGCCCTGCCTCCCCCCAGGCCCACTTCCACACCTGCCTTTCCCCAAGCACCAGTCACTTCCTGCTCCTTCCCATAGTCCCAGCTGTGCTGCCTGGAATTGTACAGGCTGCTGCTGCTCCTCCTGCTCCTGCCTTCTCGAGGCTGCCTCTGAGGCATCAGCCCAGAGAACCTTCCTCCGCCTACCCTGGTCCAGGCTCCGCCCTGGCCTCTTCCCTCTTTGGTCTCCAGGCCTGCTTCTTGGCTAGGACTCTCCCTCCAGGAGCACAGGTGCCCAGGTCTGGTTCACACTGCTGTACTCTCGCCTCTTCTGTGAAGCCAGAAAATCTGACCACTGTCCTCCCTTCAGACTCCAGTTCTTACTGGCTACCCTGGAAGGAAGGGAGCCAGTCATGTGCCTGTGTCCCTGCCCAGAGTGGGTGTTAGAAACCGCAGTTGTGTGACTAGGGTAGGAGCTTTTTTAGGAGAGAGCTTAAATCTTCAGGCTCAGTCTTGCAGGTGCCTGGGGTACATCTTGCCATAGCCCTGTGTCCCTGCACACTCTTGTCAAGGCAGTGGGTAACTGGGCTCACCCTCTAATTGCCTGAAGCTCACAGGACACTTGATACAGGGTGTCTCCAGCAACCAACTTTTTTTTTTTCTTTTTTCATAGACAGTGAAACATCCTGTGTGTATAAGGCACCCACCGTCGGTGAAGTACACCCAGAGCTTTCTCTTGGAGCTCATCAAAAAGGTCAGTGGTAGGCAGTGTCTCCTGTAACCAGACCACAAGTGGAACTAGGCTGGCTCTGCAGAGGGGGCTCCCCGCCAGGGCTTTGGCTCTTGGAGCTCACGTCCCTCCCTGCTCTTCATACCTGCTGGGCAGGGGCCTCCTGGACAGTGGGATTTGTGCAGTAGGCAAGGCTGGGCATTTCTCCCTCACCTGCTTGCAGGGTCTTGGCAGCAACTGTGTCTCCTCTGGGCCCCTCCCACCAGGCAGGTCCTCATCCTGCCAGGCAGTCCCTCCTCCCTCCATCCTGCCCGTGTGGCAGGCTCTGACAGCGCCCTGCCCTTGCCAGCCCTGGGTGGCCCGCCAGCCTCTATTGGAAGTGCCTTCAGAGCTGATTCCTCACTGAATTCTCCCCATTGACTGAGCGGGCTTCCTGAGTGGCACAGGACGTGTGCCCGTCGGGCTCAGTGCTAGACGGCATTAGAAGCGTCAGTTCCTCCGCGACAGTAGTACACGCCTCAGCTGCCACCAACTGACAGGGCCACACCTCACTGAGCTTAGCACACAAGTAACCCTTGCTTCTCATCACCCCTGTCCCCGGGCCTCATCACATGGTGCTTCTGTGGTGGTCTCAGCACCACCTGAAGTGCCCTCTGCCCTCCAGCGGACCCTGCACTGACCTGGGAAGCCCGGGTCTGGGGTAGCCATTGGGAAGCAGCTTGGAAGGCAAGCTGCCCTGTGGGCACTTTACTGTGGCTTCTGCTGGACTCCCTTCAGATCTCCTCCATGTGAAAATGGCAGAGCTTCCTCTCAGTGGAATCCGCTCTCCTAGACTGTGCCACCCTCACTCTGCACCCTGCTACCCACAACTGAGAATTTACATACCAGCTGTTCTCTATTGAGTCATTTCACTCCAAATCTCCTAACTTAGGTGCAGGTCCCCTCTAACACAGCCGCAGGTTGGCGCAGAGGCAAAGAGACAGAATCTGGTGTTATTTCTGAGGGTCTTTCCCCCGCAGCACGAGGTTGTCCACGCAGAGCCTTTGGACGAGCTGTACGAGGCGCTGGCAGAGGTCCTGACCACAGAGGAGCCCACCCAGTGCCACCGAAGCTATGTGCTGGTAGGAGATGTGCACAGGCCAAACAGCTGTGCTCCAGCGGGTGACAGCGGGGCTTGGCCCAGGGTTGATCCTGACCCCTCCTTTGCCTCGCCTAAAACCAAGCACTCCAATAAACAACAGAACCTGGCTCAGGCAGCCACTCGGTTACTCGTCAGCAAGGACCTGTGTCCAGCCTTCAGTTCACACCTGACTGTGTGGACCTCCCAGGACAGCAGTCTCTAGAGCAATCTCTTCTCACTACTGCCACCACCGTCACTGGCCCGACTGCCCCTCCTATTCTTGTCACATGGAAACCCCTTCTGCACACAGTAGCCAGGAGGAGGTTGGGGTTGCTTCACTGGTTTGCTTTAAGCTGCTGTTATAAAACAGCTACAGAAAACCACACGCAAGAAATACAGAGCTTATAGAGTCACTGCACGGCAGCAGCCACAGTGACCACCACTCTGGTGGTGGGACAGAACCCTGGCAGCAGCCCAAGGCCCTCCACCTGACCCAGCCAGTCCCAGCACAGTAACCGCCATCCCGCCTGTTAGTCACGTCCGTGAGTTTGTGTACCTCACTCTTCTGTGGGCCGCAGACACCAGCATTAGTCCTGTCCATTAACTGGGCACAACCCAAGGTCTCCCTCCCACACTCTATCCTTGCCACCCCTCTACTGAATGGCCCTGGCCATCAGAGCTGGGCCTGGGGGCACCTGTGGGGGCGTCCAGCCTGCCCCTCGACTTCCCGCATGCCGACTGGCCCAAGCTGCACCACGGTTGCTGCATGGAAGTTTCTTTTCCCTTGCCGGGTGGTGGCTGTGGTATGGCCGCCACTGTGACTTAACACTAGCCCGTGTCCAGATGGCTGGCTTCATCCCCCCGTCTCTCCGTGCAGCCTTCGGGAGATTTAGTCACCCTCTCAGAGAGCACAGCCATCGTTTCCCACGGCACCACGGGCCTGGTCACGTGGGATGCAGCCCTCTACCTCGCAGAGTGGGCCATGGAGAACCCAGCAGCCTTCAGGCACAGGTGACCTCAGGCACAGGGCAGGCACCAGGTAGGTTGGCCCTGGCACAGACTGACAGGCCCCCTTTCACCCACCCAGGACTGTGCTAGAGCTGGGCAGTGGCGCTGGCCTCACAGGTGTGGTCATCTGCAAGACATGCCACCCCCGAGCATACACCTTCAGTGACTGTCACAGCCGTGTCCTCGAGCAGCTCCGAGGAAACGTGCTTCTCAACAGCCTCCCACTGGAACCGGAGGCCACTGCCGACTCAGAGAGCCCCCTGGTGACGGTGGCCCAGCTGGACTGGGATGAGGCAACGGTCCCTCAGCTCTCCGCCTTCCAGCCAGACATTGTCATCGCAGCAGGTAACCCCGGGCCAGCCCCGCCAGCGCTCTGCTGAGGGCCAGGGAGCAGGTGCTGCAGGTGGGGAGAAGGGGCGCCCGGGCCTCCAGGAGGCATCAGAGCACCCGGAGCCCCTTCCAGGTGCTGCCGCTGGGGTGGTTCCATCAGGAGTGCCCTGGCTGTCCATCAGGGCTTGAGCTGAGGCTTGCCCTGCAGAGGACGCCCAGGAGGCCTCAGTTACCATACAGGTCCTCCATTCAGGGGGGCTGCACACAAGCCCACATGCCCTGCCCCTCAGAGATGCTGCCACTTCACCACCAGGCATCCAGTGCTCTGAGCACCACGCCGTAGGTCTTTAGACGGGAGAGCCAGCCATGGCAGCCCTTGGTCATTCCAGGGCCACAGCAGTCTCCTGCCTGTCACCAGCACCCAGTCCCACACCAGGCCTTGAGGGGGGTCCCAGGGGCAGTTGGGGAACAAGAGCTGAGCAGCCCCACCTGTCAGTGCCGGCTGTCTTCTCTGTGCAGGGCTGTCCTGGGGATTCACCGCCACCACCATGCTGGGCGACCTGCCTGTCTCTGTCTACACCTCTCTGCCTGGGTCCAGACCCCAGGCCTTCCGAGGCCACAGGAAGAGGCTAACCACTTCTGGTACAAGGACAGTGTCCTTAAGAGAAGGCAGAGTGGTTAGGCCACCAAAAGCCCTACGTCCCCTTTCCGAGTTGACATCATGCCCACTACAGCTGACAGGTTAGAGCTCAGGACACAGAAGCCCAAAGCAGAGCTCAGACAGCGTCACTAAGCAAGCAGCTTCTGAACAGGCGCCGCCGGGGTTCCCAGCAGTACTCCCTCGAGGCCAGGGAGTCCCCGCTGGCTCGTGTCCTGAGGGTTTTCCTGTCACCTGAGCAATCTTCCTGCACAACAGCGTAGATCTAATCTAACAGCCCCTGCAGGCCCTCACCCTTCCCCAGGGTCGGCAGCAGCCTGGCCATGCCACTGGGTTCTGAGTCCTGAGGCCCCTGAGTAACCAGAGCTCTGCATCACAGACGTGCTGTACTGCCCAGAAGTGACCCTCGCACTGGTCGGGGTCCTGCAGAGGCTCTCCGCCTGCCAGAGGGACCGGGTTCCTGACGTCTATGTGGCCTGCACCATGCGCAACCCAGAGACCTACCAGCTGTTCACCACCGAGCTAGGTGAGTCCCCCAGGCCACAGGCCACCATGCTATTCCCGTGAGGGATCAAGGGAGGCAGAAACCAGGAAGGTAAGAGAACGGAGCCCTGGGAAAAGCCAGGAAGCCCGTCCCACACACCAGGCCTGGGCACTCAGGCCAAGGCAGTCCCACACGGTGACCCCAGAGGTCAGAGACCACAGCCCTACTGTGTGACACGCTTCAGGCAGGTTCCATAAGCCTTAGGGCCTCATTCCCTGTAAAATGCAGGCAGAGAGAGATGCCAGCTGGGTTCTGAACCACATGACAACTGAGTGTCAGCTCAAGGTAGTCCCACTTCCACCCTCGTGGAGCAGGACTGTCACTTGTCCCCCCATCTGCACCATGGAGATGCAGCCTGAACACACTGAGGGCAGTACCTGGCACACAGAGCCCTCAGCAGTGTGGCAGCCACGGTCATGGACACCCAGCGCAAGTAAGAGAAGGACCTGGCTGCAGAGGTGGCCTAGGGACTGCTGTTTCCCAGCCCCGGGTAATGCCCTGTGGGCCAGCATGGGTCAGCCTAGATCTTGTCTCAGGTGTGAAGACACTGGCAGACCAGTTTCCATGGACTCAGCCAGATCACCCAGCCTGTGTCCCCCTGCCACCTCCCCACAGCCCCAGCATGCCAGGCCCAGCCAGAGCATTCCACACAAAAGCTGGTGCAGGGGGGACCGTCTACCAACTGCACCCCCAGCAAGGCCCCTCCTGGGAGCTGTCCAGACTCCCCTGCCCAACCTCCATGCAGAAAGACACCCAGATGCCCCTCCATGAGCAGGCAGTACTGAGGGAGGCTGTGCAGCCCCAAGAGAGAGCAAGGAAAACACCTCTAACGTGTTTCAAGTGAAAGCAGCAAAGTGCCAATCGGCACACAGAGCACAAGTCCCACTGTGGTAGTTTTGTCATTTGGTTTTTGGGAATTGCAGGTTGAACCCAGAGATGCTGTACCACCAGGCCACACCCTAGCTCTTTTTTAAGCCAGGGTCTCATTAAGTTGCCCAGGCCAGCCTCAAACTTGCGATCCTCCTGCCTTAGCCTCCTGAATACCTGGGATTACAGGTGTGCACCACCACACCTGGGCTTGTTATTTTATATATCTTATTGCCTAGGGAATTTCTAGAATATACACCAAAAATTATTATACTTAGATGATAGAATTACAGATTTCCTTATTTCACTTTATAAATAGTGATTTTTCACTTATAACTATGACTAAGAGCCACCTGGCTCGCAGCGCCAGCCACCCTGCTCACGAAGACAATGCGCCTCTTCTGGCCCGTGTGAGGAGTGGTGCTGGCGGAGCAGCCAGGCAGACGTGGGGTCAGTCAGCTCCCCCCACCCTCGCAGACTGATGTGCACATGTGCAGTGACAGGGAACCCAGAGTGCCTGGAGGTAGCCTGGGCACCTGGGTGAGCCCGGGTCCGTGAACCAAGGAAAACAGACACAGCCCCAGGCCCAGCGCTGCTGTCCTGAGGTGTGCGCTCTGTTGCAGGCCGGGCCGCGATCCGCTGGGAGGCAATGCCTCCTCACAGCCAGAAACTGTTCCCCTATGAAGAGCACTTGGAGATGGCAGTCCTGAGACTCCTGCTGTAGCTTCGCCATTTGAACATGTGAAGATGAAGTCACTGCAGTGGGAAGAGCTTTCACGGGGAAAGCTGATAAAACTTCCTTTGGACTTGAGTGAAGAATGCCACATGCCAAGTCAGGAAACAAACTATCCTGACGGAGTAAGACTGAGCTGTGGGTGCCCCTCCAGTCCTCAGCTCTGGTTTGTGAGGAAATCGCCATCTGCCCGAAACCAGGCTTTGACTCAAAAGCAAGAACTGCCTTCATAAAAAATAAAAACATCTTTAACAAATAGGGCTCCACAGCTGGGCGCTCACCCCAGAGGCTGCAGGAACCCAGGTGAGGAGCGTGACAGGCAGAAGCTGGGAGGATGAAGAGGGGACAGGAGGTACCAGGAGAGCAGCACGCTCAGACAGAAGACAAGACAGGCTCCGCATGCCTGAGAAACCAGGAAGAGCCAGCTTCCCGTCAGTCCCCAGATGTCCTTCTGGCCTGACCACTGGGGTCACTACATAAAAGCCTGGGTGGCTGCAGGGCAGCAGGCAGGGACAGGGAAGAACAGGCAGTGTCTCTCCATCCCCAGGATGGTGCACCACCCCTCAACTGATCAGGGACGCTGGCCTTGGGCCTGCAGGGTCACGTGTCCATGACCAAAGGGAGCACAGTCCGCTGCCAGCTCTCGTCCCATCGAAGCTGCTCCGACTCCCGAAGGTTCTTCCGAAACTGGTTTAGTTTTCCAGCAGGATCAGGAAACTTTGAGAAAAGCATCTACAGAACAGTGAAGACCAGCACTGAGCCCATGGTGGCACCCACCCATGCCAGCCTTCCCCAAGCCTGCCAGCTGCAGGCTGCTCACCCAGCAGCACCCGTCCCCCACTTGCCCCTCCCCAGGGCTGTCCCCCACTTTCCCACACCTGTGCCCTGGAGCACATGTGGCCTGGTGTCCTGCACAGGGCACAGTCCCACCTGACTGCTAGGAAGGAGGCAGGTGATCCCAGGTTCTGGCTTTACCCAAATGTTCCCGAGGGGACTGGCACCTACAGCTGCAGTCCCGATCTAGCCCACCTGACTTTGTAAACAGCTGCACTGGAACTCAGCCCTCTGTGTACAGATGGTCTGCAGCTGTTCACAAAGCAGTTCCCCTGAACATGACAAGGCCTAGATCCTACCTAGACCTGTTCAGGGAAAGCTGTTCACCTTCCAAGAATGACAGTGGTTAACTTTTGTAAAGAGAAACAGTGTCCTCTACAGAACCACCACGTCCCAGGCGGCACACAAACCCCGCTCACCTCGTCTGCTCCTCCCCACGTAGCAGCACGGTTCCCACCTAAGGTGCAGCCTCCATATCCCCAAAGACAGGCAAGCAGGCCCTGACTCCACCACCCACTGCCTCCCTCAGCCTTCCCTCCAGAGCCCAGCACCCGCCAGGTCCTGTGGGCAGCAGGGAGCAGAGCTAGCTCAGTGTTGTGCCCCCGGCCTGCTTAGGGGACACCTACCTGCAGTTGAGCTGCCAGCGCCTCTGCGTCCTCAAAGACCAGGCCGTTCTCCCCGTGCTTCACAAGCTCATGCAGGCTGCAGAGAGAACCAGGGGAGGCCTGAGACCCAGCCGTGGCAGTGTCCAGAGGTGCCCAGCTGGCCTACCCCACTGGGGCGAGACTGGGGGCAGGGGCGGGGTTTGGCCCAGCCTGTTCTGAAACAGAGCTTCAGAAGGAAGTGGGAGGACACATCTCAACGCCAGGCAGATGTGGAGGAAGCCCCAGGGGAGGTGCTCTTGGTGTCACACGCCCTCTGAGGACAAGGTACTCAAGGATCATTTCCTATGCTCCATGCCCAAGAACCAGGGTACAGGCAAGGCCCTGGTGCTGGGCTCAGCACATTAGGGACGGGTCACCAGGAGGTCTGTTCCCAAGAGACCCAGCTTAGCTCACAGAGGGTCTGGCCCCTGAACTTCCCATCCAGAGGCTGGTCCCTGCACAGGCAAGGACCTGGCCCATGCAGGGCCACTGCCTCCAGGACCTGGTCTGGAGCTGCCCTTTCCAGCACCCACCTTGGCCAAGGAAAGGGGGGGGTCACAGAATTACACTCCCTGCAGTAATCCCACCCCAGCTACGAGCTCAGCCAAGGGACGAGGAGGAGGGGAGGGAGAGAACCACGTAAAGCAGGTGGCGACTGCAGCCACGTTCCTTACTGTGAGTGAGACTGAGGGGGAGGGGGGCGAATGCTCAAGATTTGGTGCTTTATTCAGCATGAGCCCAAGCCAAAGCCAACTTGTCATGCCTCAGCATCTGCAGGGGATTCATTCCCAGAGCCCCTCCCCCAGGTGCCCCAGCTCCTTCTGTGAAATGGTGTGGTGTCAGTATCCTGCACAGATCTCATACTCTTGTCCCCTCCAGGTTGCTTGGACACCTAAAGCAATGCAAGCTACGTGAACAGTCATTCACTGTATTGTGCAGGGAATAAGGACAAGAAAAATCTGTGTGCTCCGTACAGGCCTCACCACTGCCGACCTAGCTACAATGACCCACGCTTGGTTCCATCAGTAGGTACAGAGAGCCAACTGTACTGAGTGGGGCTCAGCCTGACCCCAACAGCCACAGCCCCTCTCAGCCTCCCTGGACTGCACAGGAGCTGGCCCTGACGGGGCACTTCACAGCAGTCCTGGCCACGCTGCCCACCCTGTGCAGCTGATCTGAGAACCCGACCCCAGGAGATTGGGTTTCTGCCCCTACCACTTAAAGTTCACGGCACACACAGGCAGGCAGCACCCAAACATGTCCACCACCTTCATGGGCAGGTCCAGGCCACTGGAGGACTTGTGCAGACAGACACCCAGGTCCGCTGACCCTGCGTGGGGAGAAAAGGGGGCAGTCAAAGTTTGGGGAACACATTCTCCCAGAGTGGAAATCAAGAATGTCCCCACAACAATGTCCCAGAAAACAAGTGGCTTATTCTGGCCAAGTGCCAGGGCGAAGGGCAGAGACATAGCAGGGCTGCCCAATTGCCGGCAGCCATCACCCTGTCCAAAACTGCCACGGTCTTAGTGTTTTTATTTACTCTTTGATTTGCTTTTTCTATTTAACCACCATTTACTTTAAAAAGAAAAGAAGTAGTTATTGTGAGTAGTTATTGTGCAGTGTGGTAGTATTGTGCTCTGGACATGGGGTGAAGGTTGTCCAACAAGGTAAATGTAGTGAACGCCACTGACAGACACTTGGATGGTTAAAATGGCAAGCCTAGTTACACGTATTCGACCTCAGTTTTTAAAATCCATGATAAAATTTTTTATATAAAAAAATAAATTGTTTAAAGGAATCCACAGCAGATCCAACAAGAAACACTGTAAAAATAAAGCCAAATAAACAACTGACCTCAGCAGGCCCACCCACTTGCCATGGGAAAAGAAGGCAGGAGGGACCTTCCAGCACCAGGCCCCGCCCCCTCCTGGAGCAGAGACAGAAGCCTGTTCTGAGAGCCAACATGTAGGGAAAGTGGGGCCCACAGCAGCCAGGGCTGGGGACTGAGCACACATGACCCTTGAGCCTGATCAGGCAGGAGGAGCCGGCACAATAGGAAACTCAGGAGCTCGGCTGGAGTCCCTGGTGGCCACCCAGTCCAGCCTGAGGCCTGTCAATATTAGAGCCTCTGAGCTGGGAATGGCTTTTACATTTCTAAGTTGTTTCAAAGAAAAAAAAAAAAAGACTATGCCACAGAAGCAACTAAAATCTTCACTGTCCCTTTTTAGAAGAAGCCTGGTCATCTTCTGGACCCCCCCTGTTGCCCTCAGCTCTCACCTAGAAGCAACGGGTAGTCCTCGGCCTCCAGCCACGGCGTGCACACCTTGATGTGCTGGAACTGCTTCTGGCCAATGAGGCGGCTGTAGTGCTCCTTCAGCGGCCCTTTGCCTGCAGAGGACACCCGTTGTACTGGACCCATTTTGGTCCCTGCACACCATTAGCCCCAGAGGTTCCCACTGGGACTTGGCAGCCACTTCCAGGAAGCTGCACCCCTCAACAGCCCCAGTCAGGGCCCCTGGACCTCTTCCAGAGCCGACCTCAGCACCCTGAGTCCCCACGGGGCATGTGCCCTCATCACCAAGACCCAGCCCTGGCTTGAGGCCAGCTGGCCTCGTGCTGCAAGTGGAGTCACACTTGCAGCCCGAGAGTCCCAGGTGGTACCTGTTATCACACAGACTACAGAAGGAAGGCTGTCTCCATCAGATGCCCGCTGTTCAAACTCTATTCAAAAAATAAAAGAAACATGAACCGGTGTCCTTTCACATGAGTCGGGTGAGGGAGGGGGGAGGGGCTGCTCCCTCAGGGAGGCCACAGAGCTGCCCACATCCCCCTCCCTACTGTCCGCAGGCAGGTCCACCCTGTGGTCCTTGGGGCAGAAGCAGGCTGCAGACCTGCCATGCACGGCCAGCTGCGCGGCCCCTGCCCCAACAAGCCCAGAGCTGCTGATGCAGCGGCACCTACCTTCCAACGCTGCCAGCAGGATGGAGAAGTCCTCGTCCTCTGCAAGGACAACAGATCAGGTGTCAGGCCTGTCTCCAAACACCCCTCTCCCAACTCATATGCCCCCCTCCCATGGTGGGCCAGAACACAGGCCAGGTCAGACAGACCTGTCCAGCTGGTGCTGCTGACCAGCAGTGCCGGCCGCCCACCAAGATGTGTCACCACCCCAGTGCGAGCATCCTTCTCCGTGAAGGCCGACCTCTCTATGGCAGGGCCCGATGGTTCTGAGCTGCAGGAACAGAGAAAAGGCAGTGAGTCGCTGCAGGAAAGCCAGGGGTCAGGACAGCCACTCCCTCACAGCAAGGACCACAAGCCCCCAAAGGCTGGCACCCAGGTGACCCCACAGAACCACTGCTGGCAGCTAGGTGCTAAGGTTACCACAAAACAAGCCACCAGTGCTTGCCCCTGGGCTCACTGCTCCACCCTTCCTCATCATTACAAGGACACTATGCCTCCCCCAGATGGCACACCAGTTACTGAGGAGCACAGACAGGACATGTTGAGAGCTACACGGGTCCTCTCCTTAGCCCTGAGGGACACCCAGAAGACACAGAGGTCCATAGACCCCTCACAGGCCCAGGAACCCACTGGCAGGAGGGGAAGGTAGTAGATATCTCCTAAGGAACCAGAGGCTGGATTCTTCAGGCTTTGTGGGCCCCAGACTCCTGGTTGCGAAACCGGTTCTGCTGCGTGGCTCACCACAGCCACAGACAATGCCAGTCAGACTCAGTTCACAGAAACAGGCAGCAGGTCTCTGCTTCCATGCCCACCCCTGGATTAGGTCTGCAGGAGCGGATGGAAGGGCCAGGGCAGCAGAGAGCGTCGGAGAAGGCAGCAGGACAGACACACCAGGCCCTGAACGGAGAGTAGGTGCAGCCCAGCTTCATGAAGAGCTCATGCTGCAGGTCCAGCGGTGTCTCCTTAAAGAACGAAGCCGGCTTGTCGTAGACAGTCACAGCCCTGCAAGGAGAGGAAGGGGCAGGGCAGAGAGAGGCTAAGGAACAGAGAACCCAGAAGGATCCAGAAAAAAAGGGCACTTCGGGAATCCAGGTCTCTATGACAAAAGCTTTAGAATTCCTTGGGAAACACAGACATTCTAACACCAGAACTTCCAGGGATTCTTCCTGGAAGAATTCCAGCCACCTCACCCCACTTAGCTCCCCAAACCAGCAACTATCTCTAAGGCCCAGGGTACTTCAAAATGCCTTTCCAACATGATACGGTAGACTGAAGCTCTCGGCCATTCCTGGGACCCAGCACCACCCACAGGCTGAAAGGTGTCCCAGGCTCTTCATACTTGATGTGCCAGTTCTCAGCCAGGTCTTCCCGCATTGCATTGGTCACACACAGGTTCAGGTGGGACAGGCGCCCGAAGAGCCTCTCATACCTGCAGGGACGTATAGAGGTCAGAGAGTTAACAGAGAGCCCTGGCTGGGCCCAGATGCCAGTGTCCACACGACCTGACACCCCTCACAGAGAAGAGGCTGCAGAGCTTGGGGCTCACAAACCCACAGGTCTGCACACCCTGAGCTCCCCATGCCCTCTCATCTTCACATCTTCCTAAGTGCTGTCATTGTGCAGCTTAATGCAGTCACTTTAAAGGAAGCCAACTACCCCTAAAGGAGTGGAGATCCACTATCTTGGGCAAAAAAGCATAAATAAAAAGGCTGCATCTCACCACCCCGTGCTACTGCTGCAAGGCTGCAGCTTGCTCTCTGAGTGTACAAAGGAGTTTAGCAAATGCTAAGCATGGAAACCATGCGGACCGCAAACCAAGATGGAAGCCCTGTCACAGGAGAGAGCTGGAAAGGGGAGCAGCAATTTAGGATTACTGAGCACCACCAGGGAAAGCTCTGGAGTGGGACTGCCTGACAAGAAGGCATCATCATTTACAGCCCAGCCTCCCTGACTTGTAAAAGGACAATGACCACCAGGCACCTCTACTGCGATGTGGTGGAGACCAAATGGAATAAAGTACATAAAAGGCTCAGCCCAAGGCCTGGCACACAGCAGTGATTATTAAAGCTGCCACAGCTGCTTTCACCACTGCGGATAAACAAGGCCCTCAGGATAGTCCACTGCAGCCTGAGGCTGGAAAAACACACCAAAGTGGACATTACAGTGCGGCTCAGCGTAGGACAAGGATTCTCCCTGCTCCAGGTCCAACCTGCTCCCCCGCCCTGATGGAGTTTGGGTAAAGCATTCACACCTCACCCAGACTCACCACTTGGCCAGCAGAACAAGGGGGTGCTTAGGGCCATGCACCAGGCCCATGATGGAGTAGCCATAGTTGTGCCAGTCGATGACCAGTTTGCTCCCACAAAGGCAGCCCACAAACCAGCAGACGGCAATGCTCGGCAGGCCTGGGGGGTTCTAGGAAAGAGAAACAGACAAAGAGAAGGAAACCCAGACATTCATGGCAGAGCGTCAGTGATCTTCAGAATTCTTGATAACAAATGAGCAGCTCTCTACCATCCATGAAACAGAACTGCAGACTAGAAAAACTCCAAGCTTCTCAAAGAAATACCATTTTCCTGTCAGAATGCAAACTCTGAGGAAGCACAACATCAGTGGGTGATGGTAAACACAGTGGGGGTGTCCCCATCAGTGGGGACCCAGCCAGGATCATACCACAGCATCTTACAAGCACATCAACTTTAAACAAGCAATTCCATTGCCAGCAATATATTCTCAGGCCCAGTCACAGATGCGTGCTCACTGTGCTCTAGCCATACTATGTATACAGGCAAAAAAATCAGAAAGAATCCAGATGTCCCTCAAGATGAAACTAAATAGCTTGCAGTTCATCACATATTGGAAGTGAGTGCAGCCCACTAACAGAAGGTACTTCTGGACTTTAAAAACTGGTAAAGGGAAGAAGTTAAAAGTTTAACTCTAGAACCAAACTGACTACCTCTGTTCAAGTCTTGACTCTATTACTTCCTATCTGTGTAACAGTGGGCTACTTACAGAAATTTTAAGTTTCCTCATCATTATGGACGTGATACCAGAATCCACTTCTTAGGATTCTTGAGAGGATTAAAGGAGACAGAACCCTAGTGAAACACTTAGATAAGTACGAAATGCAATGTAAGACTCTGTTATGACCAGAAAAATAGCATGGACGGATACCAGAAATAACAGACACATGCTATAGAAGCCTATTCACAGAGTCCTGCCCATGGTTTTATAATGTTTGTGCACACACAAATGTGCACTTTAACAATTAGTGCATATTTTTTATGTTTGGTGCTGGGAATCAAACCCAGCATCTTGCCAATGCTTAGCATGCACCCTACCACTGAGCTACAACTCCAGCCCAATTTGTGCATTTTTTTTTTAAAAGCTAGAAAGTAATGTTAACAGTTGTTCTCACAGAGGGAGGCAAGCGCTGACACATACCTGAAGAAAGATATAGGCTGCTGGTTCCCTCCACATCAACTTCCACAGCAAGTACACTGTCTGAAAAACAACTTTGACTCCATACCGCAGAACCGGGGGGCCAACTGTAAGTTAAAAAAAAAATCACTACTGAAGGAGCTCCTGGCCATCTGCAGGTTACCCCACACCCAACCCCAACCAATGTAACGGAACCTGGAGGTGACAGCACCCTACCTGTGGGACTCTGAAGTTCCATCAACTTCACAATCTGTATTCTGTCGCTCTGCAAGAGCTCATGGTGGGGTCTGGAATCTGAAAGAGAATGTCCCTTTTACTGGATGAAGCAATCTAATTTAAAGTCAGGTTTTGGGGCTGGGGATGTGGCTCAAGCGGTAGCGCGCTCGCCTGGCATGCGTGCGGCCTGGGTTCGATCCTCAGCACCACATACCAACAAAGATGTTGTGTCCGCCGAAAACTAAAAAATATATATTAAAATCCTCTCTCTCTCTCTCTCTCTCTCTCTCTCTCTCTCTCCCTCTCTCACTCTATCTTTAAAAAAATAAAAAATAAAAAAATAAAGTCAGTTTTGGAAAAAGGCCTTTTCAAAACCCTTCTCTGTTCCTCAGTAGCCAGAGAAGGGGGCCAAATCCCGTCCAGATTCCACTAGAATGGCAGGTGGGAAGGCTCAAATCTTACCCACCTTTACTTAATATGATGCCTGGCACATAGTAAGTACTCAATTAAACTGATCTAGGCTTGGGGTGGGGGAATCTTCCCACCGCAGAGACATGTCAAGGAAGTCCCACTCCACCCCCACTTTCACACAGGGACCTAAAGCAGTGGTGCTGTTTCCACTGTTCCATGAGATGGGGAGAAGTCAACCTCTGGAATCTCCACAAGGAGCGTAGTGAAGGAGCAGACACCTCCGCCTGCACACAGCTGGACAAGGACAGCTGCACGCAGATGTCACAGAAACCGCAGTCCAGTTCCAGTCTTTCCACTTCACTAGAAGAATCAGACCCTGCGACGGAGTCGCTTACCACAGTCACAACATATGGCAACCAGGAACCGGGCTCCTCCAGTCTGAGGACTACCAAGGGAGCAGTGACAGAAGCGCCGCTCCCACCTCGGCCCCCCAGGGCGCTCGGGGCCGAGGGGACAGACTGAGAGAACAGCCTCCCTCCCAGGCCCCCGGACACTCACTGCAGAACCCCATGAGGGTCACCGAGAAGCCGCGCTTGGCCAAGGACAGCGCGTGGTACTGCATGCGGGGGCTGCGGCCCACGTCGCCCAGCACCACAATGACCACGTGCTGGGCCGCGCGCCCCCGCCGCCAGCGCTTCCACCCGCCCAGAAGCAGCAGCGGCAGCAGCAGGCACAGCGCCAGGAGAGCCACGCTGGACGGCGCCATCTTGGCCGCTAGGCAGCGGTCATGTGACGGATCCCCCAGGCACGCTTTGCGCAGGCGCAGGGGCGAGGCAAAGAGAGGAGGGGCGGCGAGTGGAGGTGGTTCCCTAAGTGGGTCCCGGGGAACTGCCAAGGAGCCCCTGGGCGCCTAGAGTTAATGGTGCGTACACACCTGCGGGGTTCCCGAACTCTGTATTTCTCCTATCAAAGTAAATCTTTCTTTATGAGGCTCTAGGAACTTTTTTCCAGCGTTCTAGGATAATTTCAAAATACAGTTAGAAGCCAAGCGAGATGATGCATATTTATAATCCCAGCCACTGGGAACCTGGGGCAGGAGAATGGCAAGTTCGAGGGCAGCCTCAGCAACTTAGCGAGGCCCTGTCTTGAATTTTTTTTTTTAAAGGGCTATTTTTAAAAAAAAAGGGCTAGGGATGAAGCTCAGTGGTAGAGCACTCCTGGGTCCAATCCAGTAGTGGAGGGGGTAAATGAGACAAGAACTTGGAGGAATCTCATAAGGTGATAATGAGAAAGGAACCAAGTGCTGAAAGTACATAGTGCAGGGTGCTCTCACACCAATCAGTCTTTGCTGTTAGAAGTGAGGAGAGTGAGCCGAAGCAGCTCCATCTGGGGAGACTCATCCAGCAGAAAATTATTTGTCAGAATGTATTTGTCAGGATGTATGTAGTATTTGAAGAAAACCTTTCAATTATTAAAAGAGAGAAAGAGAGAGAGAGAGAAAGAGAGAGAGAGATAAGTATATAAAGGCAGTAAAAGCCATAATTATTTTTAAGTATCCATAGGAAGAAGGGAAATTTCCCTGTTGGCCCTTCAATTTCACCTCCCAAAGTAACCACAGTAGTTTATCGTGTCCGGGTGATAGCCTTATTGCTCAGAAAACTGTCCTCTTGCTGAGAAACACCGAGAACACACTGGTGAAGCCACCCTCCCTCCAGTCCAACAGACGTGAGCACCTCTGAATGTCAGCAGTAGCCCCTGGACAAGATGGCCTGTGCTGATGTGGTGCCAGTGTCCCCAGAGCTCAGCTCAGGACTCAGCAGAGGTGGAATTGAAATGTGAGTGTAAAATACCAGATTGCAAATATTCAGTACAAGAAAAATGATGTCAGCCATTTTTATATTGACTATATGTTGAAATAATAATATACTAGAATGATTGACTCAAACGAGATAGAGCGTGGCTTTACCTGCATTTTGCTGTTCTAATGTGGCTATGAGAACATTTTGAAGTGCCCACGTGGCTCGCCTTTGCAGCTGGAATTCTACTTTCCTCAAACAGTGCCCCCATGAGGGAGCTTTCAGAGCAGGATGTGCCCTCCCACTAACTCATTCCACACTTTTTAAAACAAACAAATTCTGCCTCGCAGGGCTTTTGATTTCTGAGTTGCTATTGCTATTGCTCAATCAAGGACCTAGCTGGAGGCTCAGGTGCAAGAAGAACCAGAAGGGCTCCTCTCCCCAGGGGACAGCCAGGGGGCTCCACATAAGGATTGCCCCCCACCCCCAACATCTGTCTCCTGCTGCCGCCTGCCCAGAGCCCTCTGCCCAGGCCACTCAAGCTGCAGATCAGTCCTGCCCGGCCACTTGTCCACGGGTCTGCTGGGGAAGGCGGTGGAGCAGGAGGCGGAGGAAGGCGTGCAGAGGTACCTGGGTGAGAGTGCCACAGGTGTGACCGGCTACACGCAGAAGGCCAGTCATGGCGAGGCCAGGGCTGCTGCTCCTGCTCCTGCTTCTGGCTCTGCAGCCACTACAGCCCTCCTCACTGCCCAGGCCAGACACCACAGAGGGCAAGGTCACCATCGTGGGCCTGATCCTGTCTGCACTGGAGAGAGCCACCTTGTTCCTGGAGGAGAGGCTACCCGGAGTCAACCTGGACGGTGTGGTGGGGTTCCGGGTGCTAGAAGGTGCGTGAGCCCCATTCCCCAGGATGGTCACTGGGAAACCAGTTCTCCTTGTCACCTGCCTTGCTCTGACCCCTAGGGCCTGGTGACCACCTGGTGTGGGAATAGCCTGCTGTGGCTATAAAGAAAGGCGAGGGGTAGGAGCTGCTTTTCTTGGTTTTGGGGCTCAGCCCGCTGTTATCGAGTCTTTTGGAAGGAGGAAGGATTTAATGGCAACATGAGCAAAGATTTGGAAATTATATTCTCAGAAGGAAATGATCCATTTGACAGCCCTTCCTGCCATACCGTGAACAAGGGCGGGGGGCGGGGGCGTGCAGAGAAAGCCTTTTACCAAGAAGGCCACTCCCCTGCATGAGGCTAAGCAGGAACTCTCTCAGGGTTCCTCTCAGCTTCCTCCACTTCCAGCCAAAGCCACCTGAAGGTCCTGAGAAAACAGCCAAGTGTTTGTTCAATTTCAAGATATGAAATCCTTAAGGAGAGGGCTGGAGACAGGCCAGGGCCAGCAGGGACACACATATCCCCTGCAGCGAGCTCCTCCTGCAGGCCACCCTGACCAAAGCAACAAAGAGCCCGGGCTTGGCGGCAGCCAATGCTGGGGGAGGCAGCCCCAGTCAGTCTCCTCTGTTTAAGGGTGCAGCTGTCTGTCCACCAGACCCAGGCAGGAGGTGCAGCCCGGGCAGTGTGCCTCCTCACAGCCCACCCCTGCTGCTCTAGGTAGGACCCTGAGGAGACCCAAGACTCTGTCCCCTCCCCTCCAATCCAGGAAAGAGACATACCCAGGGTCTCCTTCATCTGACCCCAGCCCTGTCTCAAACTCCTGTAGAAATCAATGAATTGACCCCCAGGGCTGGCTTCCCCAGCAAGCACAGGAGGTGCAGGACCTGAACAGAACGTTTAGGGACCACGAACATGTCTTAGGTGGTAAAGGAGCCCACACTGACCTAAAAGCAAAGGGTCCCTCAGCTGCCCCACCAGCCCTGAGCCCCTCCCTGGTTTCCCGGTAGGCAGCAGACCCCGAGTTCCTTGGTTAATGCCAATGGCTAAATTTCATTAAGTGCTTACTTTGCAGGCGGGTAGTGCTGCATCCTCACTGCACATTAGATCATTTCATTCTTAATACCTCTCCCCAAGAAGTAATAACCGTCACTGTCCCCATTTCACAAATGAGAAAAGTGAAGCAGAGAGAAATCAAATGACTATTTCTGGTCACCCGATGCAGAAATGTTCAATCAGGACTTGAGACAGTGGGACACTGCCTCAGAGACCAGGCTCTTGTCTGAAACATCTTCTATCCCTTGGAGCCCTACCCATCACTCAGATCCATGGCCAATACTGGCCCTGCCATAGCCTCTAAGCGCCCAAGGCAGAGGGACTCACGGCCAGTGGCCAGGCCAGCGTTAGGGCCGCCCACGGTGGGGGGGAGAGGAAGGCGGCGCAGTGATGGCAGTGATCGCCTCTTCTCCCCTCTTCTCCCCTCTTCTCCCTAGCAGCGCAGCTTCAGGGTGTGCAGGAAGAGTGGGCGGCCGACCCCCTGCTGGGGCCCCTGAGCCTGCGCACCAGGCAGCTGGCAGACAAGCTGGCGGCTCTCCTGCGCAGATCCATCTTCTACCTGGAGCTGAGTGACCCCAGATACCTTAGAGGTAATAGCGGAGCGGGCCCAGTGCGTCAGGAAGGCAGTGCTGGGGTGTTTGCTTCCATACCCCTGGGCGGGCTCCTCCTGGTGGGGACAGGGAGGTTCTGCCACTGCCCCTTTTTGCCCAGCAAACTGCAGGCAGAGCTGGGAGTGTCCCAGTCACCCCTGACATGGATCCAGGGTCCAGGGCCTTCTCCCACTCACACAGACAGGCAGGACATAGGCAAGGTCAGCACAGGCCCAGGCATGGCCCTCCATCCTGCACCAGAAGGGAGGTCTGGACTGGACTGTTCCCCGGTGGAATTTCTAAAAGAGAAGGTGCTCCTTTGCCCCTGAAACGTTAGTGCTGTGCCAGCCACACAACAAGGTCTTCTGCCTCCTAAGGCCAAGCGCTGTCCTCACCAGGCTTGAGGGACCCTTACAGAGGGACCCATCCTAGAGCCTGGCCTCAGTTGTTCTGTCTCCAGATCAGTGGATCCTTTAGCTCAAACAGGATAGAAGCCAAACCCAGCCAACAAAGAGAAGGTAAGAATGACCTCTTGCATCAGTTCATACAGCAAGGGGCTGCCCCATAGGCAGAGGAGCAAGGAGGTCAGGATCCTAGTCTTGGGGCTAGAAGTTAATGTTCCCATGAACTATGTGCCATCTCTCCTTGCAGCTGCATCAATTGGCACTCAGTCAAAAATGTGTCTAAAATCATGTTAGGTCTGCTGCAAGGGCAGCAGTCGGGTCTGCATGCACCAGTTCTGTGCTTTCTTATGTCTTCACCAGGGACTGAGCACTGTGGGGCGCTCCTGCAATCCCAGCGGCTTGGGAGACTGAGGCAGGAGGGTCAAAACTTCAGGTCTAGCTTCAGCAACTTATTGAGTCCCTAAGCAACTTACCAAGACCCTGTCTCCAAACAAAAAAAATTTAAAAGGCTGGGATGTAGCTCAGTAGTAAAAGTGTCTTGGATTCAATCCCCAGAACCCAAAAAAGAAGTGGTTTGTTGGGAGCGGGGCACTTGTAAACCAGTTCCTCTCCAGGGTCCCCCTTCCTCACTCTCACTTGCCAGGGTGATGGGGGTCATGAGCCACTGCGCTCCTCATTATGTAGGGCAGCCCAGCTAGCTGCAGGAGCAGCTTCCTGGCCCCTCTGCAGCCTTCCTGGCCCCTCTGCAGCTGAGTTCTCCATCCTCTTTTAATCCTTATGCACACACCCCTCAGAAATAAGAGCTGTCACCACATTACAGATGAAGAAAGCAAGATGGGAGACCTGCGCCCTAGCACCGGCCCAGCCTGTCTTCCTGAAGTCAATCCGGGCTGCTGTCTGTGTTATAAGAGCTCCACTGTATGACGGGATCCAAGGAGTCTGCCAGCACTTTCAGTGTGTCTAAGCTGCAGAGGGATGCCCTGGTGTCAATCAAAGCCTATCCCAACACTGCACTCATTGTTTAGGGAAAAAATGTCCTGGGGGTTTTGTGTGTCTGTATAGGAGTGATAGTGTGTGTGGTGTGTGGTATGTGTGTGGTGTGTGTGTGTTTTGTTTAAAAAGAGATTTGGGCCAGATCATAGCTGGGTCCACCCAGGAGCTTCTGGGGGATTCAAACACTGGCGGAGCAGAAGGCGGGCTCAGAGCTGAACTGGCAGCTACTATGGGCAGTGCCTGGGGCTACCCAGTTCCCCCTGTGGTGGTCTGGGTGGCCCAGGTGGCAGCGCTCTGGTGGCTCACACCTCCCACCTCTCCCCTCTGCCAGAGTTCCGGCCGAGTCTCCAGCCCGGATTTTGGAAGCTGCCCCGCACCTGGACGCACACCAACACCTCGCTGGTCTACCCCGTGCTGGAGCCCGAGGACTCGTTCTCAGAGGAAAGCAGCGATGCATGCCTGGTGCAGCTGCTGGGAACCGGGTGGGTGCCCGAGGACCCCACTGGATGAAAATTTCACTCACTCCCGACACCCCCAGGCTGCATCCAGGGAATTTATGCTTTTAAAAACACACAGCTCATCCAAGAGTCAGCCCCACAATGCCTGGGGACTCCTTCCCCAGCCTGAAGTTTCCCTGAGTCCCACTGCTCCAGGACAAAGCATCCGGCAGCTCCTGCCACCCTGCCAGGTCCCAGTCCCCTAGGATCCAACCTCAGGGTCCTCTTTGCAGGCTCTCGAAGGCACCATCCACTCCACTGCAAAGCTTTGGCTCCAACCACCTGTCCGCCCCCTCACTCACCCCGACCGCAGGGCCCACCCTGCCCCTGCACACTGCACACTTCGTACATGGCTGAGGGCTCCCAGAACCTCTGTAGCTGTATTACAGTCCTGTCTCCCCGAGGGGCTGCGGGGCTGCGGGGCTGTGGGTCTGGGAAGGCAGAGCTGAGCCTGAGCTCACTAGCCATTTTATCCTACTGTGGGGTGGACTTGGAGCCAGGGCAGCACTCCCTCCAGTGCAGGGTCACAGAGCAGAGTGGGCAGTGAGTGCCCCCTCCTCTCAGCATCCTTCAGAGAGGGGTTGGGCCAGGCCACAGCTGGGTCCGCCCAGGAGCAGTCCTCTGGTGAGGGTCCCACCCCTGCTACCTCTCTTTATGAGGCAGGTTTGTCATGGGGTGCAGGAGCATTTGGGGTCAGAACCCCAGGCTGCCTAGATCCGAGAGTCGTTGTTTAGGGCCATGATGGGAAAGATGTCATTTGAGGACTCCACAGAGTCATAGAAGTCTCAGCCCTTGGTGGCTTTCCAAACTCAAGACAGCTCCAACATGCTGTTCCCCGAGGTAGAGGTACAGATTTAGGAGATCAAGACACTGGACACCTGTATTTTATTTGGCACCCACTGTGCCCAGCCTGGAGCCTACTAAGGCTCATACAATAGGCTGGGGGATCGGCCGGGGCAGACCTGGTGGCAGTGGAGCACCACCCTTAACAGACGCCACTGCACTCCCCAGGAACAGCAGCCAGCCCTGCAGGATCCCAGACTTCTGCAGGACACTCGTGACCCAGCCCAACTGCTCAGGCTACAGGCTGTCCCACCAGCTGCTCTTCTTCCTCTGGGCCAGAATGGTGAGTGTCAGGGGGGACAGGAGGGAAGACAAGAAGGGCTCCCGGCAGGTAGTGTGTCTGCTACATGCCAGGAAATTAAGTGGCTTTTTGGATTTGTGCCTCAGCCCTCAGGAGGGAGAGGTGAGAGTCAGCTGCCCCCTTGGGCTCCATCGCTGAGCCGATTAGATGGTGATGGTGGGGATGGGCGGGGGACTCTGCTGGCCTGACAGAGAGACAGCCTTGCATGCTGAGCTGGATCTGAGGACCTCAGAAAAACAGAGAGAGAGAGAGAATAAAATAGAGGAGGTGGGGAGGAACCCTGCAAAGGACAAAGGAGTGGAAGAGGACGCTCCCTGCAGGAGAGACCAAGCCAGGCCCCTGGTGAGTGGCAGCAGTGTCCTTCACCAGGGCCAGCAGGGAGAGGGAGCCGGGAGAGGTGGCCTTGCTGTGGTTCTGGTGTGCCCCACCCTGGAAATTCCTTGACAATTTCTATGGTAAAATGACGCTAGGGAACAACTTGAAATACCAATGAGGCTAAGGCTTTATATTCGTTTGTTGGTTTTAGCCTGTTTTTCAAAACACTTGAACTTGGAGGAAAGGAGAGCGGGTTTTAGAGGGTGTAACCCGAGGCTTGCAGGGTGGGGAAAGGTGCCCAGCAACCCCAGCCGCTCCCCCCGGTGTCTCGGCCTCCGGGATGCACAGCAGCCCCTGTGATCATGGAGCTGGGCAACGTGTTCTAGGTCTGGGGGGCTCCTGTCCTTGGGGTCCTGAGGACTGAAACCTGGGAGAAGGGACATCCAGCTCCACCTCTTCCACACCCAACATCCTTCCAAACCTCAGAATTATAATCATAATAATGATAAAAGTGCCTTAAAAATGTTTCTCTAAGGGCCTGGGTCACAATTCAGTAGTAGGCTGTGTGCTTAATACGTGTGACCCCTGGGTTCAGCACACATTGATGTGGAAAACTAGAGCTAATGATCTTCATTCCGAAAACGTTAGTGCCCAGGAGTCCTTGGTTTGATGGGGGTTTTTTAAATTAACATTTCTTTGCAAGCTGCTACAGATCCATGTTATTAGATTCAACAGGTAAAAAGTCAGTCTCACCATTGCCACAGAAGGTTCTAGAGCCTGTTCTCGATTCCTGTTCTTCTCTTCCTGTGCCGGAGAATCATCCGCCAGGTCCAGGGCCTGTATTTGAGTAGCCCTGAAGCTGCCCTAGGGGTTAGTCCCTGATTGCCCCATAAGGGAGTGTTTGCAGCGTGCCTTCTGGGGGGTTGTCCACCCAAGCCAGAGACCCTCTAGTGCCGTTCCTAGTGACCTCTTCCTCTCTGATGACCTTAAGGCAGAGCCAGGCCTCAGCCCAGCGCTTTCAGGCCTCAGTGATGGAGCAGGCTGAGAGAGAGGGTGGAGAAGGAGAAAGTGGTGGAAGGAGAAGTCCTGGCCCAGACACAGCCCCCAAGACATCTCAGAACCGCGAGTTGAGTGTGTGTGTGTTCCCTGTCCCTGGTGTTTGTCCCCAGCAAGGATGCACAGAGGGACTGTTCCACCAGAGTCAGCACTACATCAGTGTCTTCTGTGCCAACATGATGGAGCTGAACCGGAGAGCTGAGGCCTTCGGATACGCCTACCCGACCAGGGACCTCTTCATGGAAAACAGTGCGCTGGCCTTCTGCCCTCAGGATAAAGCAGGGAGTTCACGGGTGGTCAGACTCACACGTACACGCGTTCTCTCTCTCTCTCTCTCTCTCTCTCTCTCTCTCTCTCTCTCTCACACACACACACACACACACACACACACACACACGAGTAGGATTGCCAATTTAAACAAAAATACAAAGTGCCCAGTTAAATATGCACTTCAAATAAGCAGTGGATAAAACTTTGGTATAAGTATATCCTAAATATCACATGGGATATACTGAAAATGTGTTCTTTGTTTACCGGAAACTCAGATGTAGCTGAATGTCTTATCTCACTGCGTGACCACTTCCTTCCCCCAAGAGCTGTCCCAGTGACAGAGCTCACTAAGTAATCCCAGTGACTCAGGAGACTGAGGCAGGAAGATTACTTTTCAGGTCAACCTCAGCAGTTTAGCAAGGCAATAAGCAAACTAGTGAAACCCTGTCTCAAGATAAAAAGAAGGAAAGGGCTGGGGATGTATTCCAAAGGTCAAGCTCCCCTGGGTTCAGTCCCAGTAAAATAAAAAAGAGATGGGGAGGGAGGGGGAGAGAGAAAAGGGAAAAAGAAAACAGACCCCAAAGCCTAGAGATGAGGCAGAGGGGAGCCCCTGCGTGGCCACTCGTTGGCTCCATTGTCCAACTCCCTCCCCGGGGGCCCCTCCAGGGGGGTCTCTGGCTGCCTCCTTCCCGCCCCTGGCCCCTGTGTGGCCTGCATACCTCCTGCTCTTCCTCCCCTGTGGTGGCCCTGGAGAGGGGAAGGAGCTGGCCTGGGGGGCAGGTCTGCAGAGGGCCCCTGTTGGCTTCCAGTCATGCTCTGTGGAATCAGCGGCTTCTCTGACTTCTACAAGCTCCGGTGGCTGGAGGCCATTCTCAGCTGGCAGAGGCCTTGGGAGGGATGCTTCGGGAAGCCTGGTGAGCTGCAGGGCTGTCCTGGCCGGGAGGGATGCGTTTCAGGTGGGAAAGCACGTGTTGGTGTTGGGGCACCGGAGAGGTCATGGCACGCCTGTGCAGGCGTGGGCTCACACACAGGCAGAAATGGGCTTGGAGCTTTGGAAGCCAAAGTTTTGCAGGTTGTGAGGCAGTCCCCCACTTGGTCGGGTCTGCATCAGCCACCTCAACAGAGGGGATTCTGTGTGCTGGGGACGAGCAAGGAAAGGCAGAGAGGGCCTGAGGGTTTTGTTGCTTCAGCAAAGTCAACCAGGTAGCCGGTGCTTACTGACCACCTGCTCGTGGGCCCACCCTGGGCTCCGGGGGACGTTGGGGCCTGAGGGAAAGAGGCAGAAACCTCCTCAGCATCCACTAAGTGAAGCAGGGACCAGTTCTCGAGAGGGTGAGGAAAGAGAGGGACCCGGGAAGGTTCTGTGGGCAGCGGGGGCAGGGGAAGCTCCTGGGAGGAGGCGGCGCACCTCAGAGCTGAGCGGCCCAGGGCTCAGGCTGTAGGTGGCCCCTGCCAGCCCCTCGGCCTTTGGAGTACGTCATTTTGCTCTAGGCCCAAATCTCTTCCTCCGTAAATAAATGCGATCATCAGCCACCTTCCCAAGTGTGAAAGGACAGACAGGACCCACACGGAGGCTCCCAGGAAATGCTGGTGTCCTCCTGAGAAGCTTGGGATCCCCAAAGAAGCCAACACTTTTGAAATAAGGGGATGTGGTTTTTAGGACGGAGTTGATGGACTGAGAAGTCCCCACGCCCCAGACCTCCACAGGGAGCAAGTCGGGGCAGGAACTTGTGTTTTTCATGCGCACGTCCATCGTACCCGGGGACGGGCTGGGAACTACAGTTCGAGAAATCATCAGTCGAGGCCACATGAAAGGATCTGCAGACAGGTGCAGGAAGAAGCTTCTAGAATAGCCTCAGAATTCCAGAGAAGATCTGAACAGCTTGCGTTGTTAAGAGGGGATGAAGTTTATTAAGTAATGTTTAAAACTGTGTCTCTTCTCCAGCTGCCAAGGAGGAGGACCCCCCCACGGCCCCTCCACGCCGCCCGCACGTTCTAAGAGTGAAGAGGAGAGAGAAGCAATTCACAGGTAACGGAGCGCCCACGGGCCTTGGCGTGAAGACAGGGCACCCCAGAAAGCCGAGGCAGACGCTCGTTCTCCTCTGGCACGGGTGCCCTCGGTGGGAAAAGGCCCCTGCACACCGAGGCCCTGGGCGCCAGGCCTCCGTGTCCGGGAGGCAAAGGGAAGGGTGGGCATCGCTCATCAGCTCCTCTCAGGAAGTGGGGTCCAGAGATACTGTGACCAGTTAGAAGAACGTGAGGGGCACTCACGGCCTGTTGAAGATCACAGAGGTTCCCCACTTGGTCAGGTCTGCGCAGGAGACTAGAACCTGCATCAGCCACCTCAACAGAGGGGATTCTGTGTACTGAGGTTGAGCAAGGAAAGGCAGAGAGGGCCTGAGGGCCAGTGGACAAGTGACCGGACAGGCCTGGTGGCCCTGGAGCCTGGTGACCCAGAGCTGCCCCAAGTTACGCCTGTTGTCCAGGGCCATGAGGAACAGTGCCCCTCTCCCACCAGTGTCCTGGCTGTGATGAGATCGTAGGGTGGGCCCAGCAGTGTGGAGAAGACTGAGAGCAGAATGTGCTCGGGGAGAAGACAAGGAAGACCGCGGAGGGAAGAGGGGTAGGAAGAAAAGTTGCAAAGTTTGCAAGGCAAAACCAGAGGGGGAGGTGGACTAGTCGGCCCTCAGCTAGGCCTCCAGTGGACCCTGGTAAAGGATTCCAGCCACCAAATGCCTGCCCATCAGCCCTGACACGGCCTCAGCATCTTCCCACAGGTAGCCAAGGCGGGGAAGAGAGACGCAAACCCCAAGAGCCCATTTTGTGGCCACCATCAAAGTCACACAGGAAGAGAGAGGTTCCCTGGCCAGGCCTGCCTAACAGAGGAACTGGGGGCTGCCTGTGTCCAGGCTAGCAGGGGGCTGTGGTCCCTCCCCAAATAGCTGCTTGTCCCCAGAGATTGACAGCCTGACTGTGGCACTGTCCTGAGGGCCAGAAAGAGCAACAGAAATCCCAAAGCCCCAGGCCTTTCCACCACCTAGGAAAGGCCCAGGAGTGGCGTGATCCCAGTGACTCAGGAGGCTGAGGCAGGAGGACAGGTCGTGAGTTCAGGGCCACCCCAGCAATTTAGCCAGTTTCAAAATAAAAACTAAAAAGGGCTGGGGGCATGGCTGGGTGGCACAGCACCCCTGGGTTCTGCCCCCGTACCCAAACCAGAAAGGTCTCCCTGGAGCAGGATCTGGACCAGGGTGGGGCCTCAGGTCAGATCCCACCTGGCTGAGAAGGAGGTTCCCCCACAAAAGGAGAGTCCTCCCAAGACAGCAGCCAGGATTCACTTCCTGTCCTCTTAGGTCAGCTGGGAGGGAGGGACACAACTCACAGATGAGCTGGCCCCTCACTGCAGGGGCCTGGCAGCCCCCAGTCCGCAGCAGGGGGATGGGTGGGTGCCAGCCTCCCAGGGCGCCAGGCGAGCTGGCTGCGGGACGTCTGGGCAGCGCTCATGTTGAAGAAAGAGCCAGCACTCAGCAGGGCCCCTCTCCTGCAGATGGCTGCTCCTGCCACAGCACAGCCGTGGCAGTCGCAGCCCTGGGGGGCTTCCTGTATGTCCTGGCGGAATCCCCACCGGCAAAGGGAGAGCTGCGTCTGTCCACAAGACCACCGCTGAGCGGCTCCTAGGATGGACGCTCCCACCCCTGCTTCCTGCAGGATGAACAGGCCCCTTCAGCCTTTCCGTGGGTCTTGGGGCCGAGGCCACATCCTGAGAAGGAGGCAGCCGAGGAAACCACAGCAGGAAACTGTCACTATCTGGGGTTGTCTGAAGCCCTGAGTGAGCAGGGCAGGGAAGGCAGGGCACGTGAATACATTTAGAGCACCATCCTGAGTTGAGTCTCGTTGTTCTAAGTCTCCAGCAGCCTCTCGGTCTCTGGTCTCTGTTTCTAGTCTCCAGTTTCACTCAAGGAGAATTCTAGGGAGTCATTGCTTCAGTCTGCTTTCTGCTACTCTAACAGAATACCCTAGACAGGGTGATTTATAAACCACAGAAGTTTATTTGTTCTATAGTTCTGGAGGCTGGAAAATCCAAGGGAATGGAGTAGGCATCTAGTGCCACGTCATAACACAGCAGAAGGCAAGGGGGCATGTGTGAGAGGGACAGAGGGGGGACTAACACCACCAGGTCACGACGCCACATCATCATGCATCATACACCAGCAGTGGGCAGCAGTGTGGCTCTGTGCCCAGGCTGCCTGGCTTCAAACCCCAGCTCTGTGTGCTTGAGAAAGTCACGGGCTTCTCTGTGACTCGGTCTCCTCCTCAGTGACATTGGGACAGCCCCACCCTGCGGCAAGGATGATGTGAGTAGCAGACTGAGAGCAGCGCCCACCCCATGCTGGGAGCCAGGTGCTACCTGCTGCACAGAGGGCCAAGTGACAGGGCTCCTCAGCCTCCCACTCCCAGCCCCAGGGCTCCTCAGCACAGGAGCCAGAGCTCAGACCTGGCTTAGCCTTTGAGAGCAGAACTCAGGACTGTGGCCCAGCCGCCATCTGGGAGTGCACAGAATGTGTGGCACCTCCGCTCCAGGGGGGAAGCCTAGCCAACAGCCCTGTCCTCGGGCTGGAAGGCCTTCAGTGCATCCTGTGCTGGCCACCCTGTGACAGCCCCACTCCTGCCACGCCCCGCTCCACAGCCGGTGGTGTTTAAGCCGGTGGGCCCGAGCATCCTGCTCCTGAAGAGTGCCTTCTTTTGAGGCGCTGGTTGTCTTGGGGAACCAGAAGCCAGAATGCGTGCCCCTTGGCCCCCCAGTGCTTGGAGGATTTCTCTCTGTTGCCTTGCAAGAGATGTGACCCTGCCAGGAGTCAGCTGCACATTAGGGGCCAACCATGCCCACCCCATCCTTCCTGAATGGGGCATGGATGTCCCTGGGGCCTGACTGCTGCACTTCAGGAGGCTTTAGTTACCAAACGGGGCAGGAGGTGACCACAGGCAAACCTGCTTAAGTCACCTTCAGGAAAAGGGAGTCCTAATGGAGGAAAAATGCCTGAGACACCCCCCCCATGACCACTTCCCCTTGAACCACCTTTGTCACCAGTGGTGCTGAAAGGGCACAGGCGAGGCAGAGGAGTCCTCTCACCTCTCCTTGAACACCGCGTAGACCTGAGGCTTCCTGTCCTGTGTTCAGATGGGCTCGCCCCACCTGCCACCACCCCTCCCTACGTGGGTTTCTCAGTGTGTGGCCTGTGGCCACCTCCATCAGAATCACCTGGGGGATCGAGTAAGACGTGCAGATTCCTGGGCCCTCTTCTAGCCAGCCAGGAAGGAGCTGGGACGTGCATGTCTGGCAGGCTCCCCAGAACGCTGGGGCTCACCAAGGTTGAGACTGCAGGGTCCCCAGGGCTTGGAGCTGTATGACAGGGTGTGGCAGACAGACAGAACACCTCTACTTAGCATGGGGTGGTGGCCCGGTCACTGTACAGCCTTCCCCTTCACACCCTCCTCACACTCCTTTATGGAGCGTGCCTTTTACAAGCTGCACTGTGTCCCCCCAAATTCATATGCTCAGGTCCTGACCCCCAGGACCGCAGAACAGACTGCATTTGAAAATAGGGTTTTGGCAGAGATCATTAGTTAAGATGAGGTCGCACTGAGGTAGGAGACCCCTAATCCAGTGTGACCGCTGGATTTAGGAAAGGGGAGCATTTGGGCACAGAAGGACACACAGAGAAAGCCCCAGGAGAAGCGGGCGGGGATCAGGTGGAGCTCAGCAGCACTTCTGCCAGCCAGGGATCCTTGAGAGGCAGGATGGGAAAGATCCTCCCCAGCCCCCAGGAGGAGCCAACATGGCAACACCTTCATCTCTTGACTTCTAGCCTCCAGGACTCTGAGGCCACACAACACTGTGGCTGAGGCCGTACAGACTATGGCGGTCCCTGGTACGGCAGCCCCAGCAAACTCACTGGGCATCAGGAGCAGCTAGGTCCCTGCAACTCACACCTGATACAAAGCCCCCTTCTGATTTGTTCACAGACTGGCCTTTGTTAAAATGACTGACGCTAGCTGGGCATGGTGGTGCACGCCTGTAATCCCAAAGCTCAGGAGGCTGAGGCAGGAGTGCCAGGGGCCAGCCCCAGCGGGGTCCAGGGAGTCCTGAAGGAGGAGTGGCGTCAGCGAAATGATGAGACAGGAGTCGTTCCGTTTGAGCAATCTTCAGAGAGAGAGCTAGAGCTGCTTTCTCTGGGTCCCCCTTTTATTACAATTTTTCTCATCAATATAGTTTCACAATACATCATTGATTATATAATTTAAAACTTTGCCAAGACATGACATTTCCTTAACCATGATTGAGAGCACACCGATCTACATTCTTCCAGGATATGACCCCCAGCCATACAATCATCAAAAGTACAGAATCATCAATAAAACATGTCACCAATTTACTTCCTTCAGATTTTCCCAAGATTTACTATTTTTCCCAAGATGTTATTTCCTTATTAACTAATGCCAAACTACATAACCAGACTCTAAGTCTCCTAGCCAATCATTAACCTAAAGTACACCTGTACTTTATTTTTAATCTAAAATTCCCATCTAAAAAAGTCCCTTTAAATCTTATATTTAAAATGTCCTAAAGTTTATGAATCATCCTTAAAACATATCA